AAGTACAAGGCGTATCTGATATCGACTGGTGTCGTTCCACCCAAGAAGAACATACTTCTCTCCATTGGTAGTTACCGTGAAAAGCTCGAGATTTTTCCCTCTGTTCAGAAGCTGAGCGCTGCGGGATACAACATATTTGCGACATCTGGAACTGCATTAACACCCCTTGTGTCTGTGCCCCCCCAAAGACCTCAACAACAAGGCCGTGATGAAACCAGCAACCCTCTTTACTGTCAATATAATACGGTCACCCACTACTGCTCGTACAGCAAGGTTTGCTATACATGCAACTCGCAACTCGCATCGTCTAGTCCTTACTAAAAATTTAACTAGATCACAGGAGCGTTGACGGCTGACAACGACAGTGGAAAATGCCCTTCCACAGCCGTCTGCTTGACATCCTCTCGTCGTCGTGATGCTCTTCCTCAGTCCCCCGTCTGCGTGGCTCTGCACGCCAAGTTGATACATCTCTGTTGAAGACCAGAAGTCAACTAGGGGCTGCCAAGCGGGCTAAGAGGTCGGTTTAGATGGTGCCAAAATCCCATGGTGAGTTGTGCTACTACTCTTCCAGTGTCGCATTTGATTGATAGGGGACTAGATGTCGGGCTCTTTGGACGATATACATACCATGGATATTTACTTCCACTTCACCTACTTTTGCCAATCGCGGCTTCACTCCACATCCCTGGATGCCTTCCTTTTATTACGCAGATTTTTTAACCTACCCGTCCAATTTTTACATCCTTGATCTGGGAGTTCGTCGCCCTTAGAATACCTTGACTGTACAATTCATTCCTGTTATAGTATAATGTCGTTTGTACTTACATTACTCGTTGGCTAAAGAGTCTGTAGTACTTAGACGCGAAGCGCGTATGTAATGAGTGGTCTTACACTCTTTTGCCAGTGAGTGGTGCGGTCGCTCAAGTTGACGAGGACCTCAGACCCCTTCGGGTGCAGCACCTGGCTGTCATGCACTCGCTCCTTGTTATACAAACCACTTTCAGTTTCAATATCCATGCACTCGTTTTTCTCACTCCTTCTCTTGTGCGCACGAATCCGATCTCACTGGACGGACGAGATGGAAGATTGGGATGAGAAAACCTAGTAAACGGGACTGAGGCGTTTCGTAGGTAAGGTTTTTGTTTGCTGAAATATTTCGAATGACTTATGTATACCTCACAGAGGAATCTTCATATCAAACGGGTTTTCACTCTGAATTCGACGCTAACTTTTTTAACGTCGTTGTCATCTTATGGGTTTATTTCGTTCCAGACTAATAGTTAAACATAAGTTTGAATCCAGAACATTTTGAACAGTGTCAGCCACACCTTTGGATATAAAAAGCCGTTCAACGCCAGACGCGAATACGCCTTGGTCATCAAACACTCGCCCAACATAGTTCGCCATACGCAATGCCCCTCCGGCCTCTGGGCACCAGCCTCAGGATCCTTACACTTGTTTTTCTCGTCGTTCCTACCCTCGTGCGCACGAACCTAATCTCTGTCGACCTTCGAGGCAACACAGACCACGACCTGAACCTTCAAGACATCGCTGACCTCGTGGGCTTTGGCGTTAACGTCGATGATGGTGGCGTTTCCTTAACGCTGGACTTCCTGAGTGATGACGTAGGACCACCAGAGCCAGCGGCAAGCAAAGTCGTCGTCCGCACCACGTATTCCTGCCCGCCGAAAGATAAGCACGGAAACACTCTCGGCTTCCACTCCCAGTCTAGCAGTCCGATGCGATGCATGTACAAAAGCCAGGATAGGGACAGAGGGTCGTATTGCCTGTATGACAAACTCACAGTTTCCATCAAACTAGCAGTTTCCAAACTAGCAGTTTCCATCAAACTAACAGCATGGGGATAAACCCTCTTCGCATCCTTCGCCATATTCGTAATCGCATGAGGAACCTGGAAGCCCACCCAAAGCAAATTCCTGGCCTCCTTAAAGAGTGGAATAATCTGCGGACCGAAATTGACCGCCAACTGGAACCCTCCTCGGCCCAAACGGACAATCTTGAATAAACGCCCGCCAACGCCCATGTCCCGACGGTTGATGTCGTGCAGCCATGTATCGAATACGTCCAGTTTTTTGCGGAACGCTGAGGATTTGGATTGGAGTTTTTGACCTTATGCATAGCCTTTACTGAGGACGTCTTTGACGTGTTTCATGTATGTGAGGAGTTGTCGTTCGATTTGGGGCGGGCCCAGATGAAGGTCACGCAGTTGAGCCATGTGGTAGGCTTCAGAGAAGCGGTACTGGGTTTTGAACTGGTGGTCAAGGAAGTCAGTCAGTGGTTGGATGGGAAAAGAGGGAGGAGGGTACCTCGTCGTGCAAGTGCTAAATGACCTCCTTCACCGAGTCAGTAAGTTGAGTCTGGTACTCCAGTACCACACCGCGAATCTACACGAGTATCGTTCAGCAAGAAGGATCACAATAGGCAAAGAAAGCACGTACCTTGGCCTAACGAAAAGTGCATTAAACTTTGAGAAAACCCTAAACATCTCGTTCGCATTGCGCGCCGTGCCAAGTCTATCCCTGAGCCTTGCAATAATCTGGTTCTCGACCCGAGACACACGGTCGTTGTACACATTTTCAGCTGTTACCCATACCTCGGTGCCCTCTGCCGTAAAGTACTCACATCAGCACCTAAAAAAAGAGAGGGAAAAAAGAAAGGGACTAACCAACTCCCTCGCAACGTTCGTGAACTCTTTAATGAGATCATCCCACATCCTGTATCCCCGTCGTCTCGCGAGGAGACGTTCAAAGGTGGGATAGGGTGTGTATGCTAGCCGGTGGGTTGTTATGGTCTGGAGGAGAACGTCGTTAAAATCTCGTAAGATTGCTTTGACGAGTGGAAGAGCTCGACAGATTGGGTAGGGAGATAGCTTGAGTTTTCTGTTTAGATGGGAGAAGATGGGCGTGAGTGATTCGTGCACTTTGTCGAGGTCTGCGGAGGAGAGAAGGTCGTTGAGCGGAAAGTCTTCCATTAGTTGGCTGTACTTGTGCACTGTCCACATCGTTAGCCTTGAGTACAATGAGAGAGGGAGAGACACACCGAGATCTGTAGCATCCTTTAGCCCGGTATCAGCAATAAAACTAACAGTGGCACGGAACTTCTTTGCATTCCTCAGTGCATCCATGACCATCCCCACCTCCTCGCTCCTCAGCTGCGCCTCTATCCCCTCCAATGCCCTTTCGAGGCTCATGATCAACCAGAAGTTGATCTCTTGGGATGCCGTGCCGGAGGAAACGTCTCTTGTGAGCTTGGTCACCGCTTGGATGGCTTTGATCCATGTGTTGACGTGCGAGTGGAGAGAGTTGAGGAATGTGCTGTCGGTGGGGAGCTTCGATGAATGTGGGAGATGTTGGGTTGTTGACCTTGAGATTGGGCCTTTATTCAACTCAGGTAAGTGCAACAAACGCAACTCGAGCTCTGCAAAGTTTTTCTTCGTCATTGGTATACCCAACTTGCTTCTCCATCTCCACCCCCACCTCCTGCGTCTTTCCCTGCCCCTGCCCTGGTCCCTACAAACACGTCGAACCATGGCTTAACTCCGCAGCTTATCACGGCGTGTAAAGACTCGTACGGCGTCTCGTCACCACCAAAGAGATTATGAAAGTGAAGCTGGGCAAAGAGCAGTACAAGTGGGTCGAAATGTGTTGTTCGTTTTATCAGCGCAAGTGTTGTGACGTGTGTTGGGTGGTAAGTGAGATGTGGGATGAGGTGGTACATGTATGTCAGTGTTCCTCCGTCATCTGCGTGGTTTCTCCGTAAACATCTATTTATGCGAAGGTATGAATAAAACGACAAACCTTCTACCTCGTCCTTCACTTTAACGATATCCACCACTCCCAGACTCAGCTGCAAACCTAGCAACACACTCATCAAACTCATCATCGAACAGTGAGTCCAACTCGTATGGCAAAGCACCAATGACGGGTGGTAAGAGGGCGAGAAAATACATCCAGAAAATGTCTGTATCGAAAGAGAGCGGTTATGTTTGTGATTCTGATTGCGGTGGGTCGTGATTATGCCCGTTCGTAGCGGTTACTGTGGTGTCCATGTCCGTATTTTCGTAAGCGGAACCTTCGAAAGGAGGGGTGATGCGAATTTCGCTTTTGATGTTCTCCACAGTGAAAACAGAGATTGCGAAAGCGAAAGATACCGTCTAGGTATCGTCCTCCTATGACTCGTGAAATAGTGCTGTATGCCCGTATCAGTCGTCATCGTCTCTTACGAACTATAATCTAAACACACACATTATTGTATCAATCCCTTGCTCTAAAACTTCAACGAGGAGTACACGTTTTGGTATCCTCGTGAGCTGTCACCAAAACGCGTCGTTTCGACCCAAAAAAAGTATGGTCGCAGTTAAGAGACCTTTGTATCACTCTCAACCCTCCTTAGAGACGTGATTGGGGGAGAATTGAGGGCAAATTTCTGGAGATGAAAGAGATTTGGACGTCGGCGTTGGTGGCTGCTGAGACGTGTGACAGATCTGTAATTGTCACACCAGAGCAAATCTCCTGCTCTGAGTCTCTATTTATCTGCGCATTCAACGGTAAATCCAACTTGTCAGCGGTTGCTGTAGTTTCCATGTCTGTATTTGCAAAAGTGGTGATGGTGGTACATAAGAGGAAAGGATGAGCGAGCAAAATAAATCAAGGTAGACTCAAGAGTCGACATGCACATACAATGCACATATTCGAGCAATATTCGAATTCCCTCCCCTCCTGATTCCCCTCCGTCGCCCTCAAAATACTTCCAACATCCCTAGCCTGCGTGTGCACATTACACATTACAGCTCACATACATGACCGTCCTCGGGGGTATCAAAGTGAGGAGTTAGTTTGGTACGTTAGGCGTACTGCAGGGGCAAGGGTATCGTAGATAGCATTCGCGGCATCGACGGCTCAGGAATTTCTGTTCTGAGCATTAGTACCAAATGATGAGAGCTGTAGAGAGATTATTTACTGAAGTAGTTTTGGTATGCCTTAGCGACGACGTCGCGCTTTAGATCTAGCCGGGTGTCGTATGATAGCATCTAATCCGAAAAGGTAAGTGTCAATTTTTCTGCGCACGTCACGGAAACCCACGCGCAAAAAGTACTCTGGAGTCGTCTCTGTGCTCAGCATTTGGCGTGATGACCTCTAGCAAGTCGTCATATGAATGCAGGCGGCCTTGACGGTAGGTATGCACACAAATCTTTTCACTGGGTAGAGCGAAGGGCACAACAATCGCCCAAGGATGTCTTCCCTCCCGGGACATAACTATTCCCTCCCCTATATCAAGGTATCAGATTGGCTCAAACACAACAGGTTGCTCACTGACCGTTAAAAGATATCGTCTTCACCTCCACCAGCTCGTCGAAGTTCCGACTCCGTAAAAAGATGGCTGACAAAGATAATTGGCCGTCTATCTGAGAAAGGAAAACTGTGGAAATGCTAGGGCGTAGTGGGCGTCTGCATGAGGACTCCGGGCTGTAGGAGAGGCAAGATAGGGCCGAGGTTGGGTTAGGTCAGGGAAAGTCGAATAAGCGTGGGGATGGGGGTAGAGGATAGTTCTGAGTACTTCGCAGAAATCTTTTGTGAGTGCTCGATTTTGGTCAGGATTCTTGCTCATCCATTCGTTTCGTTTCAAATTACGGCTTGGACAAGACTCCCTTTTGGTCGCTGGAGGGTTGACATCGAGCTATAGTTGTTGTTTCCATCAGAGAAGTGGGATGCTATACAAACTGTCGAATGCGAGTTCGAGAGTTGTAGCAGCTCGGAGGAAATAGAAAGTTTTACGGCGAGAGTTTTCGGAGGAGATGTTGACGGATGAACTGGCTGTTCCCTGAGAATTGTGAATCCATACTTCAAATGCAAAGGGGCCCCGCTCATGTTGAACTTCACCCCACAACGCTCGCCGCAGCCAAGAGGTGCAGATTAAGAGCCATTTTAAGTCAGCCGGCGGAAAAGTGCAATCTCACAGGCTGGTTGCAAGCGTTGGCCTGGGTGCATTTATTACTCACCACGAGCCTACCCTAGCTTGTAAACGCAAAATGCCAGCTGTCCGTAGCGTATCTGTTCGTTGCCCACTATCCCGCCCCCTTCCGGCGGCGTTCACGCGTTGGTTTTGAAAGTCTTCGTGTCGCATTATCGTTACCTTGCTCGCCCTTCTGTCTGTCTGTCGGGTTTTTTTGTAGGTAGTGGAACGAAATTTGAAGCAGGCTTTGTTAGCTGAAGATTTGCATAAGAGAGAATGTGGTCCTCACGTTGGGTGAAACTGCGGATCTCCTTGCTGGGCGCGTTCCCGTGTCCATTTTGAATGTTGAACGTTGAACGCTGAGCGTTGGTTGCCGTTATGTACTGTTGTATGCTGCGACGAGGTCGTAGATGGAAGCAAGTGCCGACGTCCAGCGAATGTAGCCTTATCAAGCAGGTGTTTAATTAGATCCGAGAATACTGCTATATTGGGAAGTTTCTTCACCTCGTGTCACATCTTCCACATATTCTCTGTGCAGATATGGATTGCCTTTAGTAGAAATATCTTCTTCCAATATCTTCGAAGTTTATCCACCCACGTAATTCTTAATAATTCCGACGGAAAAAAATTGATAAAATGAAATAAAAGATTTTAAATATCTTTCAACTAATTCCGGTAGTTAAAAGGTAGCATTATTATTAATATCTACCCCATTTTTTCACATTATTCCCAGTGGATATATAAGCCAGGGCCCGCAGTGTTACCAGGCCAGATTGGCTGGCAGAATGCCCAGTCCAGTCCAGTCCAGTCCAGTCCACTGGACTCCCACTGGACTGCCAGCCACTTTCCTGAGTCCAGTCCCAGTCCAGTGGACTATGAGTCCAGTCAGAGTCCAGTGGAGTCCAGTGGATTCTAGTGGATTCCAGTCATTCCAGTATATTATTATTATTGTATATGAATATACCTAAAAAAGCGAAAATGGACCATACAATAGACAAGCTATACCTACAATTTTATTAATCAATGAATGGAAAGATTATAATTTACATATAGTGTGGGTCAGTGATAGCTGCAATAAGGATTCATGATTTTGTTCAGTCTGCGGGGTGAGGTCACGTGACTTACTTGAGGGCGTGCCATATCGTCACGTCGCCTGTTTGTGGGATGGTCACACTGCCGTGACCATCCCTTTCCCTTCCACCACCACCACCATTCACATCTCAACGCCGCCGACGACGCCCACGCCCACGCCCATGCTAACGACGCACACGACGCCCACGCTAACGACAACGACACCCCCAGCACGGAACGATGGACCAAGGACGAGGGACAACGCCCATGACGTGGCAACGTCATGGGCAAGGGGTACGTATGCCCCACCACCCCGTTCCTCCGTTCTCACCACGACAGGCACGACGCCAGCAACCACCCATGCACGGCATCATGAG